AAAACATTTTTTCCTGCTAATGTTAAAATTTTTGAGAACTGGTTTAAGAATTTAAATTAAACTTTAGATAATAAAACATGCTATCTCTGTAAAGATAATTGTTTGCTAGTCTTTTAACAAAATTACCCTAAAACGTAAACCACTAATTGCAAATGCTGTACCAATTTTATTAGATACATTCAGTTTAATTATACCCAACTATACTCAACCCGAGAGTAAAATTTACAAAATGTTGAGGCTGAAAAACATACACAGCAGCATAAGATAGATTTGTTTACCTATCCACAACAAGAAATGAGTTGCAAACGTAAACTTAGTATTAGTGATAAACAATTTGAACAACTCTCAAAACGGAGAAAAACTGTTTTGAAATAAATAAATGAGAGTAGAGTCAAAAATTTAAATCTTAAAGAGAAAACGCTTAATTTTATTAATAGAAAACAATATATTAGGATTTGTAAGCTAGAGAAAGCTCCTAGTGTTTCCAAAAATATACGAATTTTATACAAATTAAAAATAACTTGTACTTATAAGAAAAATAATAATATTTTGATAAGAGAAATTGTTGAATAACACTTTTTTTTTGTTTTTATAGAAACACCTGATACCTACATCGAAATTTGGTTCATTTTTCTAAGAATTAGAAGAGACTACTATTAATTTCATATACAATTATTGTACATTTTATGTATGTAATAAACGATTAAATGCACCTTAGTTGTATTAAATGAATAAACTATACCTGTGTTTCAAATATTTTAATATAAATATTTCTTTATTTATATTTTTTGGGTTTTATTACTTTAACAAACTAATATTTAAGTTAAACGTTTTAATTTAAATATTAGTTTTTTTTTTTTAGAGTAATGAATGCCAAAAATGTAAATAAATAATAAATGAAATTTGAATGAACCGCTTTACAATCTTCTTTTTATTTTCATCTTTTCTGCTGCCTTTAACTGTCAAGCTAATCAGCCATTTATCTAGTGTGCGATGGTGGCTCCAAATAGTATGCTGACGGTTTATCTTACTTATTAATTTATCTATGTTACATTTAGCGTTGACTGGTTTATTGGGAAAAAAATAACTTAAAAATGGGATATCCTGAACTACGTTTGGATGCGATTTATGCGGCGTTAAGGTCCGATTACAATTAGAAGAACACCGCTACGTCATACTATTGTATAAATAACTAATAGTAGTCTCACCTTATGGAAGTTTCATTGGAGCGAAATGGATACTACCAATAGATGGCGCTAGTGAATATGGATAAGTCGATATTCGTTTGCAGTGGGCGGAGTTGAGGGTCCACCTGAAATTTTAGAGAATGACGGAGACCGATCGATGGATTTCTATTTTTAGCTCTTGGATGAAATTTCATTCACTCGTGATTTATTATTTGGACTATTTTCTATCTAATGTTTGTTATTGTGCGTTTTTAGTGCGTTTACGGGTAGTAGGTATTGTGAATGAGTTGTTTATGTTTTATTACTGAATTATTTTACTGTTAATAAAGGACGAGTTTCCAACAAGAGTACCTACATGATTTATAAAAAAAAATTAAATTATAGTTTAAATTAGTTTTTGGAAAGTGTCAAAAATGTTTACCAAATTCAGTAAAATGATACTGAAAAATAAAAATATTATAGCCATTAATAATTTTTGAATTTTCAACTTTAACACCCTGCATTTTGAAAACGGGTATTTTTTTTTCTAAGCATATTTCGTTTAATAGTTTTATTTTTAATCAGATAATCTTTAGTTCTATTATGTCCCATTCTTAATGATATATATTATGATATAAATTAGTTAACTATTAATTAATGTTTTAAAATTAGAATTAAAAATTTGTGTATTTATAACTGTTTTGAAATTAAAATAGAAAATATGCTTCTGTTTTTCTTTTCCTTTACAGGTATTATCCGAATTAATTTAAAAGAAATTATATAATATTAATAATAACAATAATAATACATTTCTTAAGTGTTGAGAAAAATTGTATTTTTAATTCAAATACATATACCTATAGGTAGGTAGGTAAGGTACCTACCTAAGTACTTAGCATAAGTAATAATAAACAACAGGTTATTTTTTTAATCTGGTGCGTAACAATGTAATTAAAAAAACCCTTAAGATGGTTGGTAAATAATATAAATAATATTGAAGTAAACACAATGGGTTTCTATAAGGATTATTGGTTGAGGTTCGGATCTGGGGGATAGGGCATTTAGGATCGAAATATTGAAACTAAACTTGATATATAGATGTATTATCGCATAAAAATAAAAATTGCTTTAAAAAATTCACCCCTCCCCACCCCTATCTGAAATGGTGAGGGTGGCATCCCCAAAAAATTATGTTAGAACTTTTTAAATAAAACAGTTGAAGTCTACGATTTTTTATACATAAAAACCCAAAATTACAATTTTTTTGAAAAAAATTTTCCAATTTTTTTTTTAACTTAAAAAAATTTCGACTTTAATCTTCATAGTTCGGATGTGGTGGCTGGCATTTAAAAATAGTTACAGACGACATAAAAATCTTATTTTTGACATATTTATAAAATAAATGATTTGCAACATTTTTGTATAAAAAGCTTACCACCACCATGCCCTAGAGGGAAATGGAGGGGGTGGCATCCCCAAATAAATCAAGTTAGAGCGTTTTAAATAAAACTGTTGGAATCTACGATTTTTTATACATATAAACCCAAAATAAAATTTTTTTTGAAAAAATTTTTCCAAATTTTTTTTGTACTTAGAAAAAATTTCGACTTTAACCGTCATAATTCGGATGTGGGTGCTGTCATTTAAACATAGTAACAGAGTACATAAAAATCTTATTTGTGGCATATTTACAATAAAAATGATTTGCAACATTTTTGTATAAAAATCTTACCACCACCATTCCCTAGAGGGAGATACAGGAGTGGCATCCCCAAAAAATCAATTTAGAACTTTTTAAAAAACAATTAAAATCTACGATTTTTTTTACATACAAACCCAAAATTTCAATTTTTTTTGATAAATTTTTTCCAAAATTTTTTTTTTGGACTTTCTGACAAATTTGATAAAAAAATTGAAATTTTGGGTTTGTATGTATAAAAAATCGTAGATTTTAACTGTTTTGTTAAAAGGTTCTAACTTGATTTTTTGGGGATGCCACCCCCACCATATCAGATAGGGGTGGGTAGGGGTGAATTTTTTTAATGCAATTTTTATTTTTATGGGATATTACATCCATATAACAAGTTTGGTCTCAATATCTCGACCCTAAATGCCCTAGCCCCCAGAGCCAAACCACAACCTGATTATTTTTGTTGGTATTTATTTCCAATAATCCTGTTGGTTAGGTTTGGAAAATATAAGAAATTTTTATGAATAATTCTTGTTATAGGTAGATTGAAGTGATTATTCTCAGGTGGTTCTTTACTGTTTTATTTAAGTCCAAGCTAAAAATGTTTTTCTTTAAATAATATAACTTAAACTAATTTTAAATTATTTTTTTAATTTCTTTATTATATTTAATATTATTTCTACTTTTTCTAACAATAATCAATTTAAAATATCTACTTTGATTGAGCCAAAATATTTAGTAGGGGAAGTTTTTAATATTATATAAACATACTGTGTGTGAATATGGCTAAGCAGTAACCTTTATTTCTAAAAACAGGAGGACAATGTTACTTGAAAAATGTATATTTAGAATGGTACCAATAGATGTCGGGCGCGATTGCCTCCAATAACTTTTACATGGCGATTATCCTACTATAGTTCTTTATGCAATGGTCATACCATTACATATTATCTATAACTATCAATAAATAAAAAATAAGTAAGTTGTTAAGTATAAAACAATATTTACTATATTCCTATAATATTAACACTCCACTAAACCCCCAGTAGGCGGCGATAACCAACTAATTTGCCAAATTGTAATCGGATCCTACCAAAGCTTGTTAAAATAATTTAATGGTACGTATTTTGGCTATACATTAAAATTTCTTTCCATAAAAATAAAAATTAATTTTTAAATTTAAAAATATGTATGCGATAATAATTTCAAACGTATCTACATTTGCTAAATATACAATTGACTTTTTGAATTTGAATTAATTTAACTATTTAAGTGCACAATTAAACTAATATAAATGGGTCATTCTCCATAAAACGTCAAATTGGATGTCCCACCTACTTTACAACAATTAAAAATTAACTATTCGTATTATAAAAAGTATAAATAGGAGAACAAAGAAGTTATTTATTACAAGCGAAAATTATTTTATTAAAAAATTTAATAATATTGCGTTTTCAAATCATACTCCGTTATCAGTCCCTACCTTGAGTTGAAAAACTAAACGTATCACTAAATCCTTTGACATTTACATTTTGCTTTTGTTTATTAGTTTTATATTAGAATAATATGGCCTAACAAATCTCAATATTATCAATTTGATAAAATGTTGTTTGATTTTATGAAATTTTATTAATTGCTTCTGTCCCTTGAATTGAGCGCCAACTCCGTTATCGCCATTAAACATTCAAAAACATACACTAGAGGGCGCATATGCATTTCAATTTACTTCTGGGATAGCTTCGAACTGTTTTAGTATCTATCTGATCACCAAAGGCGACGGTCACTCCATCGGACATATTAAAATTCGCAATCAAGTAGGTTCAAGTGGTTTTCGTTCAACCTAAAAGATCAACGCCGTTATCACTTTTTAAAGGTAAGTCAAATGTTTAATTAACAAGACATTATTATAATTAACTTTCTAATATGATAATCTTGGTTGTGGGACACGATCAAATTTTTAATTGATTATTTTCAAGAAATAAACAACAAAAATACACCTGTTCATCAACTCCGTTATGTCCATTCCGTTATTATTTGCGATAACGGAGATGATGGTGGTGATCACGGAGTTGATCCAATAATACCTTACCTACTTCTTTCTGTATTTTAATAATTTATTATTTTAATTTCTTTCAGGCCGAATAATGGCCCCTATAAAGAAACAAAAAGACAAGGTTACTGATGAACGGAGCGAAAAGGTAAAGCTGAATATGAGGCGGATGAGGGAGCGTATTCGGAACAATCCCGAAATGTATGAAGAGTACAAAAGGAAAGAACGGGAAAGGTACCATAAACGGAAACAAGAGGGAAAAATAAAGCTAATCGAGGATTCAACTGAAAGAGAAAAAAGAAGTAAGCGCAAACTATGGAGGGAGAGTTCCAAGAAGCATCGTGAGGGACGTAGAATAATTCAGAATATTATTAAAGCCGACACACCTCCACCTAGTCCAGTACCGCCAGGAGAAGGAGAAGGAAATAACCAAGTTCACTACAATCCAGGAACAAGCAAACAATTTCAACAGGGGAAAAAGCAATCTAGAAAACATAAAAGAGAACTGTTGAAAAAAATTGAAAAATTACAAAAAAGTAATGAAGCACTTAAAAAAAAGGTGGAGAAATATAAAAAACGTGCACACAGAGTTAATAAAAAGCACAAGGTTACCGATCCGGATAGTCCTGGTGCCAAAGTTTATGAATTGTTAAAAAATCCTAACGTTAAGCAGGAAGAAATAAAAAAGAAATTACTCTTGGGGGAAGTAATTACAAAACAAGTTCAAGAAAATTTGCAAGGGGAGCAGTCGTTAGAAGGAAAAAGAAAAGTTTTAAAAGCAGTATCTGGAAGACTTATGAAAAAATACAGGTTTCTTAATGGTTTATCAACAATGTCTCCAAAATTATGTAAGTCGAAGATATTACCGAAGAAGAGAAAACTTATTAAGTCTACACTGCGAAAAACTATTCAAGTGTTTTTAGAAAGAGATGAAAATAGCCGGATGATGCCAGGAAAAAAAGATACCATAACTAGATTTAATTGCAAAAAACAAAAAAGGTATTTGAACGACTCCTTACAAATTATCCATGACAAGTTTATAAAAGCATATCCACATTATGAAAAGTTAAGCTATCCCGAATTCTGTAAAAATAGACCATTTTGGGTTCTTATATCTAATGTGCGAATTAGAGAAACATGTCTTTGCATGCAGCATGAAAATATGTCACTAATCGTCAGTAAATTAAGATTACTGCATATCATAAACGAGTCTTCTCCGGATCAATTATGCAAGAAGCTTTGTTGTTGCGATGGGCTTCTAGGAGAAAAGTGTTTAGATCGCACATGTGAAGGTTGTAAAGACAGACACATCAATGTGAACGACTTTAATGAAGAAGAGGATATTACTTACAAGATATGGAAAACGCAGAAAGTCAAAATAGTTGTAAGAGGAAAAGAAAAAGAATGCCAAAAAACAATTAAAGAGGAGATAAGATCTACAAAGGGTTTATTAATGGAAAAGCTCAAAGAAAACCTACCCAAGTATATGCTACACTTAAGAAATATAATACATCAATATCGTGCTCTTGATGATGTGAAAAAAAATCTGTCTGTCAACGAAATATTGATACATCTTGATTTTTCGGAGAATTATAATTGTAAATATGGACAGGAAGTCCAGTCAGCCCATTTCGGTGGCTCCAAGCCGCAAATTTCTCTCCACACTGTTTTCGTTTACAAGGGAACCATTGAAGGCGATTTACCGGATCACAATTACTGCACAATTTCAAAAAATTTACGTCATGACCCTTCAGCCATATGAGCACATCTGGAACCAATTTTTTAAAAAATTAAATCGCAAGTTCCAGAAATCAAAGTAGCTCATTTTCTTAGCGATGGCCCGACGACACAATATAAGAACAAGAAAATGTTTAATTTCATTGCTACTTATATTGCACAAACTTTGGATGTGGATCAGATTGAGTGGCACTATAGCGAGAGCGGTCATGGAAAAGGTGCCCCTGATGGGATTGGGGGCTGCGTTAAAAGGACAGCCGATAAGTGTGTAGCACACGGGAAAGATGTATCGACGTTTGATGAATTACTGTTGATTTTGAAAAAACACTGTAAAAATATTAACATAATCAGTATTGACGAAGAAAGTATCTTAGAATTCGATACAAAAATACCAGAAAATTTACATGCATTCAAAGGCACAATGCAAATCCGACAAGTATGCTGGTATAAAGATGTTCCTTATACTTTGTATTTTCGAAATCTCAGTTGCTTATCATGCGTAGGAGCTTGTGAACATTATAACCTCGGGTCGCTTGAACTCCAAAATAACGAAGATACGGAATTTGAAAAAACAGCTTCCAGTAAATTACGTTATTCTGATGTATATTCTTCATCTTCGAGTGATGATGAAAACAAAGAAAATGAAATTATAACCGGGCAGAAGTACGAGATAGCTGACGGAAAATTTGTGGTAGTCCAGTTTAGCGGTAGGAAAAGGAAAAGGCATTACATCGGCAAAATTTTATCAGAAGCGAAAAACGATGAAGTTGTTGTAAGTTTTCTAAGAAGAAAGAACAAAATTAAGTTTGTTTATCCGGCTGAAAAAGACGTACATCCAGTTGCAAAAGATGATGTTGTGCTCGTTCTGAAAAATCCTGAAGAAAGAAGGAACCAGTACTTTTTCAACTTCGAAGAAATCGAAGCCATTGAAAATTTAGATTAGTATAGCGACTTCTGACATCATCAGCTTGAAGTTTTTATTGTTTTTGAGATTGGTTCTGTTTTTATTTTGTTTGGTGTAGTAGCTAGCGTACATTATCAATGTTTTATTTTCCTAGCTTTGAAAAAGAAACCACAGCCATTACCATTTTGATTTTTTATATTTTATCTTTTGTTTAGTGTAGTGTACACAACCGTGTTCCCGTAAAGAATTGTTAATGTTTTATATTCTCAGTTTTTTAATAAAACTATTTTAAAGACTGAATAGTTCTCTTTTTCATCAACTCCGTTATATCTACATCATTACCGTAATCACATGTTTTTCCAAAATTGCTAAAAATATCTAAAAACAAAAAATTAAGCTTAACCATCTACTTTGCTTGAAAGTATTTGGTTTTAGTAACATTTTGTTAATATTTATGATTAACTTTAAAAAAATATATATATTAAAAAAAATGAGAGTAAAAAGTAACGTTTTATGGAGAATGACCCAAATATCTTATTGTACATAAATGCATCGATAACTCGTATTCGTAAATCTTCGACTTATTAGTCTATCACGTCGAGATTTTACGAGGCTGTTATTCTCGATGCCGAACTGATACTAGTATAACGTGTCGGCGTTTTCCGAATATGCTACCCGGTGTGTGGAATTTAAAATTTGGTAGTAAATTAGGTTACCTATAAATAAGAAATATATGTTTTCGATAAAAAGACCCATTTTTTCAAGCATTCAGAAATTTGAACAAAATATTTTCGATAACAAAATAATTCGACGCAAATTACTTTCAAACAAAATGTGTTCGAGTTAAATAACTTTCGAACAAAATGTTTTCAAAGAATGATCCTTTGTAAAATGAGTTCGAATAAATATTTTCGAACAAAATTCCGCGATCCAACATCCAACCATACTAGGTATCTTTCGTGGATAATTTATTTACTTATTATAGTTTTTCCAATTCGTAATTTTTGGCAAAATTAAAAATAAGCCATAAATACATTTTTTGAACTAATCTTTTTTTATTTATCTGTAGGGGACAATTTAAGTGTGAATCTCTGGATTGTCCAGAATTTTTCGGACAAAAACCACTTGAGAGGGGTTGTTATAGAACATACGAACTCAACCACTGTTGTGCTGGAGGAGTACTATGCGGTAAGTTTATAAATATAATCGCTCTACCACATAATAGACGTCTGTCTCGCCGCAGGAACTTTAAACTAGCACAATGACGTCATTACTTCCATATTGAGAGCTTCCTTAGGTTTGGCATATTTATATGGCTCGTAAATTTCAAAAACTCCATGGAGATAGAAGGTAGGGAGACGTTGTCTCGTGGTCTAAGTTGGTTCACTTTCACCAAATTATCTTAAATAACATTCCACAACTAAGTATAGTTGAAGGTAGGCGCGACAGACGACGGCCGACGCGACATACGACCGCCGACGCGACATACGACCGCCGACACGACCGAGAAGTGTCGCTTCACATCTAAAATACATACAATTATATGAAACAAATTTCGCACGGCGCGACACGAGAAGTGTCGTCAGACGACACTTCTGAATCTGACTCGGGGCAAAGGTTTGCTGCCTGTCGCACTCTATGTCACTGTCCTCGAGCATCGCTTCATTGCTTGGAGGTGAATAGGTTGATGATCTAGGCAGTGTTGCCAGATTTTGGAACAGTATGGGTGAAAAAAAAAACCGTAGATCTGAACAGTAGATTTAAATACAGGGGGAAATAATTAAAATTTGCAGTGTAGTAAATAAAAAAACAAGTATATAAGAAACGAAAAATAAACTTTTTTCGACCCAAATTAGAAGGTAAACAAAGATTAAATACAAATAATAATATTTTTAATATATACTTAACCAAAAAAAAAAAAAAAAAAAAAAACAATGAGATAATTCAAAATCGTAGTGTGCATGTTCTTTTTATGATGCCCTATTAATTCTTTTTTTCATTTTAAATAAAAACAATGATGATCTTGATATTTTTTTTTTGGAGCCAACCTAGAGTAGTGGATGCTTATTACGCTGCTTTCTGCAGAAAATTTACTAGAGAAAATATTCTTTAACCATTTGCTGAAGAATGAGGCAAACTTAATAAATTAAGAACAAAATTTGCTAGAGACAAAAACAGTGGATCTACGTGAAAACAGTAGGTCTGGCAACGCCGATCGTTCCCTCGAATGGTTATCCTGTAAGTGTCGCGCGACACTTCTCAAGCTTGCGAAATGTACCAAGCGTAACATTTATGCATCTGTCGTCCTACTCGACCGTCGGGTCGCTTCAGTGGTCGCTTGTCTCTTGACGCGCCCACCCAAATGGTACCTTAAAGATATTTTTTCTCTTTCGGCACAACAAAGGGATTCATTCATACAGTGAGCATCTTAAGTCTTACCCCCCCCCCCTAACTAACTCGTTACTGGAGTCTTGTTAGGAAAATCGCCGAGACAGGTCGATTTTTAATTTTTACAATGTACATTTCTGCATAATTAGTTAACCCTTAATTTCATCCCTTACTGGAGGGTAAAAACCCTTTCGAAAAATTTAAACGGCATGGGGTGGTGAGTGATAGCTCATTTGAAAGGGGGTTTTATTCTCTATTAAACCGTGCAAAAAAATTTTGAAATTTGCATCATTACATGTTGATTTATTAATGTTTAAAAATAACAAAACCTCACAAAATAGGAAAGCAACTAGACTAACAATGATTTTCTAATGGCAAAAAGTCTTACTTCACGTCTGAACCAAAACTGAAGTCATGCAGGGCCGAATTTTAATTCTAAGGATGAGTGCGCTACGTCAATTTCCGTTATTCTGAAACAACAATTAGTCGAGAATTAATAAAGCAAATTTCCAATTTTTTTACACGGTTGAATAGAGAATAAAACCCTCTTTCAAATGAGCTATCACTCACCACCCCATGCCATTTAAATTTTTCGAAAGGGTTGCTCCCCTCCAGTGAGGGGTGAAATTAAAAGTAAACTATTCACACAAAAATGTACATTGTAGAAATCAAAAATCGACCTGTCTCGGCGATTTTCCTAACAAGACTCCAGTAACGAGTTAGATAGGGGGGTAAGACTTATGGTGCTCACTGTATATAGACATCTTTAGGCGAAGCCCAGGGACGGATCTAATTAGTTGTATGTTACGCTTTATTTTAAAATTATTGTATATTTTAAGTGGAAATGTTATACGCATTTAAAAAGTATCACATTATTCGCATTATTTTCTAACTTTGATTAAGTATTTAATAAATGTTACTAAATTTAGTTTAAAAGCACAAATTAATCCGTAATAAATATTCGCGACTTGTAATCAAAATCACCATGAAACTATGTTATTTTCATCTGCTATTTTTTTTGCTTTGATTGAAGTATTTAAATATTACATTATATATTAAAAATCAATTTAGGATGTTACAAAAAATGTTTGAACAACTGTTATTTGTATCTTCTTATTTTTAAAAAAATGATTAATTTTGGAATGTATTAGTCTGGCTTTAATTTCTAAAGTAATTAAAGCACGTCAAGGTTACATTTCTAGAGAAGGAAAACAGGAACAATATCATGTTCCTTTCCAAAATAACGTGAACCAACAGATACGTGGTTACGTTTAATAACGTAAAAATATAACCAAAATGGAAAACCAAATTTCATCAGAACTATCATCTTCACTTGACGTGTCATTCAGGTTTATAATGCAAGAATGAGCCGGAAATACTCGATGGTTATTTTCAATTTTGGTAACATGGAGAACACAATTGGACCATAATTCTTGAGATATATCTCCAACAACTTCTCTAATAATATCTAAAACGCTTTCAGACAACGCAGGATTAACATTTTTTTTCTGACTTCCATTTTGATATTACTCTAAATTAATTCCAAATTGCATTAAATGTACAATAATACGAAATTACCTCTTTTCGAGCTTTTGCTTTTGGAATTTCACTAGTTTGACGAGAGTGATAGGGGGCATTATCCATTACTATTATAGCATTTGGTGGCAAATTAGGAATTAATTGTTCACCAAACCATTTCTCGAACAAGGTAGATGTCATATCTTTGTGATAAT